GCAGTGTGTGCTTTGAATATCTGTCCAAATTTAACCTAACAAAGAATGTGATTGTGCTGTAAAATCTTTAATCCTAAAGGAAGAAGAAGAGGAAGAAGAAGGAGAAAGACAAGATGATCCCTTCATTCCTTTTGGTGGACTTAAGCAGCAAAAGCACCAGCACTGTCTAAAACCAAACTGCAAGAACAAACAGGATTGAATTAACAAAACCTTTGAGTTTTGTACTTGGCTTATTCACTGAGACTATGTCCTACACTCAGGACCCAAATCCATATAAATCCTACCAAACAAATACATTGTTATGCCCTCTTCTGTCTAGCAACTTGGAAAAAGTCATTTTAAAACATTATCAACCACTTTTAAGTACTGATTCAAAAAAAATGTTGATAAGAATTCTAGAAAACATGAGAAAAGAAAAACGGGGCGGGGGGGGGGGTGCAGGGAAGCAGCGTATGTTTGTTCACAGCCTTGAGTTTGATTCTTGTTTTGTTAATGTAGGAAAAATGTCCTATCGCAGACCATGGGTGCCATACTTTTATTCAACCCATGTGGAGTTTGAGAAAATTGGGGACTGGATAGTGGAGAGGTGAAGATGGAATATGAGGAATCTCCATGGGAAGCCAGCTATGTTTTCCTCCAGTATCATCAACCTGGCTCAGTGAGCTGCTCCAACCCCATTCCAGAAGCAAGCTGAAGTCAAAGAGGAAAAGATGATCATGACCTCAGCTCACACACATGAATGAGACCAGCACAGCTTTTCTGTTGTGGACTGTACTGCTCACATGGTGTCATGGCGACGGCGGTGCAGGGACAGGTGGTCAGAGCGAGAAAAGCTACGGTTGCAGTCCGTACACCTGAAGGGCTTGATGCCTGTGTGCTTGCGGAAATGGCGGGTGAGCTCATCTGAGCGAGCAAATTTCCAGGAGCAGCCATCCCAGGTGCATTTATAAGGCTTCTCTCCTAAAAAAAAAAAGGAATATGAAAAAACAAGAGGAGTCAGAGAAGTGATGTTTGGATTCTGAAGAGATAACAGAGTACATGACCTTTTATCAAGGCTTTGGTCAAAAGGTGAGTCAATTCCTTTGAAGATATGCTCTCCTTCACCTTCACAGAAGACCTAAAGAGAAGCTGAGATGACAGAGTGAATGGCACATAGGTACTGGCTCAAACAGGCCTTTGCTTGAATTCTGGCTTTACTGCATACCAGCTATGTGACCTTAAATAAGTCACTGCTCTGTGACTGGATCTCTGTTTTCTCCTCTCCAAAGGAGGATAAAAATATATCACAGGGTTATTTGATACATTTTCTTTTCTGAATACAACTAGTAAATGATAAAACTGGGATCCAAACTGAGGACTTTGACACTTTCCACTGTACCACACTGTAGTAACCATATCCTCTGCTCTACTACCTTTCAGCAAATAGTCTAAAATAGATCCATATACACAGGAAGAATGTGTGATTCACTAGAATGAGCCCTCAGCTCAGGCTACAGGCCTTCTGTGTAAGGTCAGTAATTCAAAGGCACGAAATGGGGTGAGAAGAAGCATCAAGCCAAACATTTTGAAATAGCTCCATGCTCATTATTCCAGTTACATCTATGTGGAAAACATATGCTCTGCATGAAAAGCTAAATGAAGAAAAAACAAAAAACTTTAACACAGTATGACCCATAATGATGTACAGATCATACACCACATATTTATATACTCAGAATAAAGATAATATATCAGTATACTTAAATATAAATTATGAGAGAAATTAAGAGTAATAATATCTGGAAAGAGGATGAGAATGGTGGGAAGAGGACTTTCTCTTTTTACTTTTCTTTATTGTTTGAATGATTTAAAGATCACAATGTTGTATCTTGTAAGAAATTTTCTTTTATTTTCTTTGCTCTTAATTTATTTTTAATTTATTGGCATACAGTATTTTATTAGTTTCAGGTGTACAACAGTGATTAGACATTTATATACCTTATAAAGTAATCACCATAATAAATCCAGCAACCATCTGATACCATACATAGCTACTATATTATTAACTATATTCCCTACTGTACCTTACATCCCTGTGACTTATTTTATAACTGACAGTTTGTACTTCTTAGCCCCCTTCACCTTTCTGGTGTATCCCCCAATCCTCCTATATAGCAACCATAAGTTTGTTCTCTGTGATTATGATATTGTTTCTGTTTTGTTTTATTTGTTCATTTGTTTCCACATATAAGTGAATTTTTTTTTTCTTCTTCTGTCTTACTTATGCTAGCATAATACCCTCTAGGTCCATCCATGTTGTCACAAGTGTCAAGACTTCATTTTTTTTTTATGGCTGAGTAACAGTCCAGTGTGTGTGTGTGTGTGTGTGTGTGTGTGTGTGTATCACATCTTCTTTATCCATTCACCTATTGATGGATGCCTAAATTGTTTTTATATCTTGGATATTGTAAATAATGGTGCAATGAACATAGGGGTGCATCTATCTTTTTGAGTTATTGTTTTCATTTATTTTTGAGAAACAACCAGAAGTGGAATCACTGGGTCATATGGTAGTTCTATTTTTAATTTTTTGAGGAGCCTTCATACTATTTTCCATAGTGGCTGTACTAGTTTACAGTCCCATCACATTTTTTAAATAAAAAGATAAGAAGCTCTATGAGGAAAAAAAAAATTAACTATGGTCAAATCTAGGTCAGGGTTAGAGTAATGTTTGTTTTCATTTTTTATTTAAGTATAGTCAACGTACAATGTTATATTAGTTTCAGGTGTACAACATAGTGATTAGACATTTATATAACTTACAATGTGACCACCCCGCTAAGTCTAGTAACTACCTGTTTTCTTCTTAATGCATTTCTATATTTCACGTCTTCTACAATGAGCATGTATTATTTTATTATCATAAACAAGAAATAATGCAGATAAAAAATGCATGAATATTCTAATGGTCTTTCTTCCTCTGGTTCTTTCTCTCCTTCCTTTAAATTATCCAGGGCATTTGATTTTATGCTGTTCTAAATTCTGGTGGCAATCTGAATTCTGGTTTGCACATACTGCTTTTCAACTATTGCTCACCACCTACCAATCCTCCCAAGTGTTTATTAATTAACTGTACAGCTTTCAAAAAATGAGCAACAGAATGGAATTCATTCTTACTCAGTTTTGGATCATATTTAGGCATTCATTTTGAGGACTAAAGATGTCAATTACTTATCATTTTGATATTCATAAATTGCTGCATTAGCTGCTAAAAAGAATGAGATAGAGTTAAGACCAAAAGTCGGCCAATGAAATGTTATCAACTATAAAGAAAAAGCTACTGAATGGCTACACTCACACACATACAGTGAGATCTCATTTATGTTTTCTAATCTCTCTCTCTCTCTCTCTCTCTCTCTCTCTCTCTTTAATTCAATGTTAGTATCCTTAATTAACTCTGTATGGCTTATCATTTAAAAAAAAATAGAATGTGTTTCTGTGTGACTGATTTTGTTTTCTGGGAAATTTCTTGGCAATTCCCTAAATGTTGTATTTTTTTGTTTACAGATGTGCTTTTGCTCTCATAGTTTTAATGTCAAGAGTTCTTTCTGGCTGTCACACACACACACACACACACACACACAAAACATGCACAAAGAAAAAAGAAGGGGTCTGGAAGACTACATTGCAAATTACTAAAAGTGGGAAGAAGAATTAGACTACAAATGGTGTTGAGAGTATGTAAATGGATTTTCACTTTTTAGTCTATATAATTCAATCCCATCTACACACCTCCCATTACATTGCTATAAATTTTATTGCAATGTCTCAAAAATTTCTCCTGGAAATTCCTATATTCTCTACATCCAAATGAAGAAAATTCGACTTGCAAAGCAGTGACACCCTGTGGCAATTGAAGCTCATTGCTAGAATGCATAGATTAGTGTACAGGAATTCAGCAAGGAGACCAATTTTCCTATTTTAAAAGCAGTTACCTTTTATTATTACTGAACAAGCTCTTGATTGTGCCAGTGAAGTCCATCAGACACAGTTTATGACTCCCTCAACATATCATCTAAATTGAAGAACAAAACACACACAGGGAAACTAATTCATAACATAAACTATACATATAAGTATGATATAAGTTTCAAGGCTAGATAATAATCTGTGAGCTGATCCACTGAACTGGAAGCATGGGTAGATTTTAGATAGGTAGAACAGAAGGTAAAAACCAACCCAGTCTGTTGGGGGGCATGGTCTGCTAAGGCACTAAAGTGAAAAATGCATACCCTGAAGAATGGGATATCTTTACAGAAGTGCTGTGAAATGACTTCTGTTATAAAGGCCAGACTAAAGAATTTGGGTTTTTGCATGAAAGGCAGTGACATGCCAAAGAGGGATGCAGTGTAGACAGTCTGCTTCAGATATAAGCAAAAGGAGATACACTGAATATAAAGAACTTAAAAAACAATAATAAAATAGACTACAACTTAGTTTGCTCTTTGTTATCATTGTGCTCAAATTGTAAATGATGCTAATAATAAAATCCTCTTTCTTGCCATGACAGAGAGCTCCCATAACGTTCCCTCTCTTGGTAAGCCATTGTCTAAAGGCAGTAGTGGGGGGAACAAGTAACACTGAAAGTTTTTGAACTCAAGAGTGACTTAGTAAAAGTTGTACATTGGAATGATCTAGCTATGGTATGCAAGATGGATTACAATGACTAGGAAGCTACTGGGGTATTCTACTTGTCTGGCATATAAAGAAGGTGCTCAAATTAATTATTTATTGAATTGACAAAGGAATCAAGAATAAATGTAACAGAAGATTCAAATAAATAAAGTCATAAATGAGAGAAGAGACATTATAATGGATTCCTCAGATATAAAAAGTACCATAAGGGACAATTATGAATGATTATATTCCCACAAACTAGATAACTTAGAATAAATGGATAAATTCCTAGAAACATACAACCTTCTAATTGGAATTAAAAAAGAAATAGGAAGCCTGAACAGACTAATAACAAATAAGCAGACTGAATCAGTAATAAAAACTCTCACAACAAAGTCCAGGACCAGAAGTCTTCATGGGTGAATTCTACCAAACATTAAAAGAATTTATATCAATTCTTTTTAAACTCTTTTTAAACTCTTTCAAAAATTAGGAGAGGAAGGAATGTTCCTAAACTCATTCTATGAGGACAGCATGACCTCGAAACCAAAACCAAAGTCTATAAGAAAACTATAGGTCAATATCCCTGATGAAAACAGATGCGAAAATAATTAATGCAATATTAGCAAGTTGAATTCAACAGTATATCAAAAGGATCATACACCATGATCAAGCTGGATTTATCCTTCAGGTGATGAAAGGATGGTTCAATGTACTCAAATAAATCAATGTGATATAATACATTAACAAAAGTCAAGAAAAAAATATACTTGATTATCTTAATAGATGTAGGAAAAGCATTTGACAAAGTTTAACATCCATTCATAATTAAAACTGTCAATGAAATAGGTATATAAGAAACTTACCTCAACAAAATAAAAGCCATGTATGACAAACCCACAGCTAATATCATAATTAATGAGGAAAAATGAAAAGCTTTTCCCCTAAGATCCAGTACAAGGCAAGGATGCCCACTCTTACCATTTCTTTTCAACATAGTACTGGAAATCCTAGTCAGAGCATTAGAAAAGGTAAAGAAATAAAAGGCATCCAAATTGGAAAGTAAGAAGTAAAATTATCTCCATTTGCAGATGACATGATCATATTTATATAGAAAACCCTAAAGATTAAACAAAAAACTGTTAGAACTAAGTTAAAAATTCAGTAAACTTGTGATCTATAAAATCAACATACCAAAATCAATAAGATATTTAAACATACATGAAAAGTATCTGAAAAGAAAATCAAGAAAACAGTCCATTTACAATAACAACACACACACGAATAAAATACTTAGAAATAAACTTAACTAATGA